CAGCAGTATCAGCAGTTCTGTGTGGGTGCGTGTACCACTACTGATTGTGGTTACACTGGCCTGTATTCTTGTGTGCTGATTGTGGTGGTGTGACTCAGGTCATCCTTTGTTTTCTTTTTCTTTTTTGCATACATCCACACTACAGTCTAACTAATCTTCCACCTATTGGGATATTCTTCTTTTTTGTTTCTTAGTGTTACTTTGTTTTGTGTGTTTTTGCTCTCTTTGTGTGTTTATCCTATAATAATTATTATTATTGCTACTACTCCATTGTGTGTGTGTTCTTGGAGACTCTCTCTCTCTCTCTGTGTGCACCTGGGCTTGCACTGTGATAATGATGAATTGCTTTTTTTGCAATGGGAAAAGGAAATAATAATAAGTGATACATCTTTTTATTCATACTTCCATATTATCTCTTGTATGGTTGTAGTTCGTTCGGGTGTTAGTGTGCTTACTGGATATGTTGGTCGGGTTTTTAATTTTTTTTTTGTTTTTGTTTCTCTGAGGGGTCTCAGTATTTGATTCTTTGTTGTTTTAGCTTTTTTTTCCTTTTGGGTGCAGCATGTTGTTGTCTTCTTTTTTTCCTTGTGTTTCTGTTCATCTACTGCATTGTTTATTTTCGCTTTATAATCTTTTTTCCTTCGTTCAGTTCAATTGCCGAAGATAACAACAAGAACAATGTTTGTCATGATGCTGCGCTATTCGATCTATATACTAGCTTTGCTTCTGAGTGTTACCTCTCTATGTGTGGCATCTGAAGAGGCTCAGGGTGCAGGTGGTGATCGTGTTCCTGAATCTGAAACTAAACTACTTTCTCAGATAGAGGAAAAGGTTGAACCTTCTCCTGGTAAACCTGGGCCTCAGGGTCCTGCTGGTAAAGATGGTTCTCCTGTTACTTGTCCTGGTACTGACGGTGCTACTGTCGGTAGTTGTCCTCCTGCTGCTGGTAAAGTTACTGGTGTTGTTGTGCCTGGTCAAGTAGGTGCAGGTGCTGGTGGTCCTTCTGGTGGGAGTTCAGGTTCGAGTTCATCCAGTTCCTCTTCTCATACTGCACAGCTTGGTGATCCTCACACAAAAAATGTAAACGAAGAAGATCCACCAAATGGAGAAAACGACAGAACTTCGTTAGACAATAAATCACAAGGGCGCGTTGGGAGGGAAGCACAGACACAAGAAGAAAATACTCATAATGACCTATCACCATCATCCACTAAAGGCGGTGAAAGTGAGTCTTCTGCTTTGCAAGACACTACTTTGAAACAAGAGCAACAGTCACCAGCAACCACAGTGAACTCTCAATCACAAACGCAGTCAAATGAGACACAAACTGCACAGACCACGCACACAACAGGAGAAGCACCTTCTGCTTCCACATCCCATAATACAGATAACGCTTCCACCAAGAATCCATCTACGGATACCACCCAAAATAATCACTCTGGTAATGAACCTAATGTTGCAAACCCCGCGGAAGGTGAATCAACAAGTACCCAAGAAGATACTGCAGATAATACAGATACCACCACCACCACAACAACAACACTTCCTCCTGAACTCACAAACAACAAGAAGGGTGATGCAGACAGCAGCAGCAGTATCAGCAGTTCTGTGTGGGTGCGTGTACCACTACTGATTGTGGTTACACTGGCCTGTATTCTTGTGTGCTGATTGTAATGGTGGTGGTGGTGGTGTGACTCAGGTCATCCTTTGTTTTCTTTTTTCTTTTTTTGCATACATCCCTACACTCTAACTAATCTTCCACCTGTTGGAGTTTTCTTCTTTTATGTTTCTTAATGTTAATGTGTTTTGTGTGTGTTTTTGCTCTGTTTGTGTGTTTATCCTATTATTATTATTGCTACTCCATTCTGTGTGTTCTTGGAGACTCTCTCTGTGTGTGCGTGCCTGGGCTTGCACTGTGATGATGATGATGAACTGCTTTTTGAAGTGGGAAGAAATAATAATAACAGATGAATTTATATTTATAATTGCGTATATATACACACATGTGACCTTACACCCATAGGTGGTGTATTTCTTGTGTTTACTGGATAAATTGGGCTAATGGTTAATAATTGTTTTTTTGCTTGTGGTTTGCTGGGTCGTTTTGTTTTTCTTTGCAGAGAAATGAAAAAAGTATTAATTGATATTTATGTATTCTTAATTGCATACACACACCAGCATATCTAGAGTTCTGTGATATTGTTGTGCGATTGGTGCTTCTCTCAATTTTTTTTTGTTTTTCTTTTTGTGGGTGTTGTGTGTTTTGTCCTTCACTTTGCTGTTTGATTGTTTTGTGTGCGGAAAAACAATAATAAGGAATACACATATATTCATACTTGTGTACGTGGTTCGACTGAAAGTGAAAATGTTTTGTATATCTGTGCTTTATGCTTCTGATAATCGTTCTCTCAATGCTTTTTCTGTTTTGAGGGGTTAATTGGGATTATCTTTTCCGTACTGGGCATTGTGTTCTTTGTTGGGCTATTTAATCTTTTTGCGTGTTGTGTTCTCTTGTGATTTTCCTAAGACTTGTTTTTTTATCTTTTTCTGCGTGTTTCCTTCTGTTTCTGTGTGTATATAATTTATTCTTTATTTGGTTCTCTTTTTTTCTTTGAGTTGTGGTTACGTTGAACTATAGAAGTAACTGTTTTCCCATGATGTTGCTGCGTCGACTACTGTACCTTACAGCACTGTTTTTTAGTGTTGCCTGCGTGTGTGTTGCGTCTGAAGAGACTAAAGAGAACGAAGAAAGTATTCGTTCTTCTGATGTTGGTGATTGTCGTGATCATGACAAGAAGGGTCCAAAATGTGAAACTCAGCCTGACTTAGCTGAAGATTCTCGTACGGAGTGTTCGGACTCACCTGGCAAGGAGAAATGCCCTGCCGAGATGGAAATTGACGGTGAACGCGATTGCCTTCAAGGTTCTGACACTTGTCCAAAGGGAGCCGATACACATAAAGGACAGAATGCTCTTGGTCGTGGAGAAGGAGAACCTGAACCCGGTTCTGGTGGTACTGTGAATGGAGGAAAAGGTGGTCCTGGAACACTGCCATCACCTCAACCACCACAACAAGAACAACCTCACGGAGACGGTCAAAGTCAAGTTCCAGGAGGACAACAACAATCCTCCACTGCATCCAGTATAAGTCAAACTGAGACACGACAGAACCCTGATTCACACATAGAGATGACCGACACAAAAGCCTCTCATCAACCCAACAATCACGTTGACACCACGCATAATGAAGAAAATGAAGGACGACAAAATACCACTACTGACGAATCCCATGGTACATCTTCGTCACAGCTGTCTGGTACGACACCCACAACTATTCGTTCATCCACTGAGCCAACACCAGAAAGTGTCCCAAGCCGTGAGAATGGGGATGCTACGAATGCGGTTACACCTTCACAGGACTCTCAATTAAATAACGGCACAGCTGAGACGAAACCTGGAGAGGATGAGTCAACGAGGGAGACTGACAATACAACCAATAATGGGGAATCAACCACCACTACCACCACCACAACAACAACACTTCCTCCTGAACTCACAAACAGCAAAAAGGGTGATGCAGACAGCAGCAGCAGTATCAGCAGTTCTGTGTGGGTGCGTGTACCACTACTGATTGTGGTTACACTGGCCTGTATTGTTGTGTGCTGATTGAGTGGTGGTGGTGATGGTGTGACTCAGGTCATCCTTTGTTTTCTTTTCTTTTTGCATACATCCACACTACAGTCTAACTAATCTTCCACCTATTGGGATTATCCTCTTTTTTTGTGTTTCTTAATGTTAATGTGTTTTGTGTGTTTTTACTATCTTTGTGTTTATCCTATAATTATTATTATTGCTACTCCATTGTGTGTTTTATTGGAGACTCTCTCTGTGTGTGCACCTGGGCTTGCACTGTAATGATAATGATGAACTGTTTTTGCAGTGGGAAAAAGAAATAATAATAACAAATGAATTTATATTTATAATTGCGTAAATATATACACATATAGACTTACACCCATAGTTGTTGTATTGCTGTGTTTACTGTGTAAATTGGGCTAATGGTTAATATGTTTTTGTTTGCTTAATGATTTTGCTGGGTGATTCAGCCTTTGTTTTGAGATATTTATGAGTGTGGGCTTTTTTTTTTCTACTCTTACTGAGGTTATTGCGCTGTATTGCATTCTTTAACTGGTTGATTTTTTTTTCGCGTTGTGAGTTTCTTTGTAGTTTACTATTTATGCTTCCTAAAGTGTTTGATATAATATTTATTTTCTTTTTCTTTTTTTCTTTTTTGCTTATTTTCGGTCTTTACACCCATATAGACGTCGGTGTACCTCAGTGATATTATTGAAAAGAGTGTCTATGTTTCCTTGCCGTGTGTTGTGCCTGTTGGCTATTCTTTTCTGCTGTGTGAGTGCGAGTGGAGCCACAGATGCTGGTGGTGTTGATAATAAAATCAGAATAGATCCTAAAAACATTTCTGATTTGGCAGAACTAGCCGTTGAATCGGTCAAAGCGGCAAATGCGACGAGGAATAAGATTTTGCAATTGAAGGATGAATGTATTGCTGCTGCAAAAAATGCCACTGACTTAACCAGAGAAGCCAAAGAGTTCGTCGCGAAAATTAATGAGTTGGTCAAAGAAGCGGAGACTAATCCATCTGATGGGGAGGCTGAGATGGTGAAAGGTGTTGAACTTCTCGAGAAAGTAAAGAAGGCCGCTGCCGTTGCAGAAAATGCTGCAAGGTTAACTAAAGAAGCAACAAAACTTCCGATATTTCAATACGGAGTGACGGCTCGGGAACTATTAGTTGATTTTAGGTACTCATATGATAAGATGAACGAATCCACGACAGAACAAGTTGATGACACTGAGAAACCAAAACTCAAGGAGCTTCACGGAAAGGTAGAAACTGCATTCCCTTACAGAAACGAAACGGCTCTGGCAGAAATCTCGTTAGGTGCCCTCGTCGCCGTAGAAGATGCTCAAGAGGCGGCAAAGAAAACTGAACCTACAGTTGAGCCTGCGAAAGAAGCTGTTACCCTTTTAAAGGAGGCCTTAAAGAAACTCGAGGAGGTGATTACTGCTGCGAAGGAAATAAAGGAAAAAATAACACCAGAGGAAAAGAAAGGATCACCGAATAACACAGAGGATAACAGTGACCTCAGCGACTCTACTTATACCCACCAACCATCTCCTGTAACTGTATCCAACACAGAGATCAGCAACATCGCCCCCACAGCACAGACGAATAAGGCTAATGCTGACAGCAGCAGTATCAGTCCTGTGTGGATGCGCACTGCAGCACCGCTACTGATTGTTGCTGTGTTGTTCTCCGTTACCCTGTACTGAACGGTGAGACTCACTTGAGGACAAATAATAATAATGGTTATACTAACAATAATCATAATTGCGTACATCCCCCATGGGTGAATAAACTAATAATCTGTTTACCAGCTTTCTCTTTTGATTCGAATTTCTTTTCTTTTACTTTTATGTCTGTGTGTGTTCTTTTTCTAATAATTTCATTACTTGCTTTTCCGTTGTGTGTTTGCAGAAAACTGGGCTGTTCTGCTCACTGACGGTATACATTTATTCTAAATATAGACATGCGTATGTGTGTGTGCAGCATTTAATATATATAAACTAGAGCCATGGGGTATTGTGTGTGTTTGGCTCTCTCTTATTTCGGTATTGTGTGATGTTTTCTTTTTCTATTAATGGATACATATTATTATCATGCAATGGGTATAATCCTTTTTCTTGCTTTACTGTGCAGTTGCTGCTTCTCTCTTTTCCACTGTCAGTATTTGTTGTATTGGTGTATGTTTGTTTGTTTCTATCATTATTATTTCCTTTTTTCTTCCTTGTATCAGTCTATTGAAGTAATCAACAACAATGACAAAGGTTGTAATGGTGAGGTGTTATCTGCTCTGTTTATTAACTCTTGCACTGTGTTGTGCTTGTGGGTTAGTATGGGCTGATGGTCCTAATGTTTCTGAGTCCAGTAATTGTGTTACGATTGTTGGTGTTCCTCCTTTTGTTAAGACTGTTTCTTGCGAAGAGGCCCGTATTGCTCTTAAGGCTGCTGAACCCACTATACGGCTTTCACCTACACAAGCTAACATTACGCATGGTGATCCTGGTGTACAAGGAGGTAAACATGTCACTACGAATTCGCATCAAGAGCAAGAAGTATCCCGAGGTGATAAAGAAGAGTTAACAGTTGATTCTGGAAATAAAGTTAGAACAGGAACTCAGGCTGGTCAACAAACCTTAGAGGCAGACGGCACCCCATCAGGTACTCGGGGACACAATAATCATGTTTCTTCCCCTGAGTCTGCAAAAGGCCGGGATATACAAGTAACTGAAGGGCATCCCCCTCCACCTTCTCCTGTTTCTGATAGACAACAGTCAGGTGATGGTTTATCTGAATCAACACAAGCAAGTGGAGAGAACCCAACAGTCTCAGCATCTGCACCTAA